TTGACCAATGTGCTCTCTAGAAGTATGTTAAGTGACTGGTAAGGTGGCTTGCAAAGGCCATGAATTCAGCTTCCGGCATCCACGTTGGGTGGCTCACAATTGTGTGTAACTCCAGCTCCGGGGGGAACCAGATTGATGCCTTTGGCATCTATGCACATACCCTCACTCAGCCACACTTCTTGAAATCCTTCACATGAGTGTAGGCCCCTAAGTAAGGGAGCTCCTCAGGCTACAGTGGAGGAGTACCCAACTACATCTCCCCTACCTGGTTTGAATGTCAATCAAAACCCACTTCTTCAGAGGGCTCACTGATTGTCAAAGTTCATTGTCCATAATAAACACCTGGGAGGTTAAAAAAAATCTACCCAAGACTCACTCTCCAGTGTTTTGTTTCTGCTTCCACAGAACAGAGAAGCACCCATTCTAGACACCATTGTTGTATTTATTCAAGCCAAGCATGAGGATAATGGATGGGACTATTGACAACTATTGGTAGAATCTGGTGCAGTGATTTTATGAGCTGTGAAAAGGGTTAAGCGGCCACCATTAGACTGGAGATGGCCAATTCTACCCTAAAACCTATAACATTGGCGCTGTTCCTGCTTTTGCCAACTTCTTCTTCTCTACCCTGTCTGAATTCACAGCTTTTTAGAGATTCCATCTCCCCAGCCCCCCTCTTTCCTACTGGTCCCTGAATCCCATGACTCCCATGGGAATCAACTGTTATAGGGAGTGTAAGAATGACAGAGCAGCTACTGAGGGGCATGGAGGGAACTCTGGACCCGTCAGAAGTCAGCGCTGCAGGCTTTGCTTTCTTCTTTAAAGGATCGAGTGCAGACCACAGCTCTAGAGTTTGTGGGCTGACAATGGATCCCCATATGCCCCACTGTCTTTGTTCTGTGCAAACGAAATCTCCAAGAGTAGAGTGAGAATTGGTTCTCAGAGCAGGGCGCCCCCTGGGATGAATGGACCAGCCATGGTGCTGCCAGGGACTTCTGTTTTGTCTCTGCTGTCTGCCACCCGCAACCCCAACCCCAAATGGGCAGATGATCTGCTTCTATTCTTAGCGCTAATGCAGAAATCAAATGACTTAAACTCAAACCCAGTACAAATCCGGCTGCATTTAGAAGTTTCTGGAGATTGCTAGAGGCAGTGCCATTGAGCTTGGCATGCCCAACCCAAGTGCATCAGATGGCCAGCCTCCAATCCAAAGCCTGCTCGTGGGAGGGCAGACATCTCTCTGGGGAGAAATTCAGCCTGGAGAGGAGAATTCTGTTTCCTATTTTTGTACGCTAGCCGCTGCACCTTAGCCTAGCACTTCACTACTAGCTTCTTGCAGAATTGGCTTTTCTGTGTATGAAGAGGAACCCGAGGGTCAAAGAGGTCAAGCCAATTCACCCTATGAAACTCTGGAGCGCAAAGCCCGGAACCATCTACAAACATACTGATACTGGTGAAAACACATTCAGAGGCCGGCTTCAGCATCTCAGGGCCCTGGCTCAATATCTTTGGCATGAAAACTCCACAGAGACTAAATCCCTCGGTGGTTTCCTGACACCCATTAAGGATAGTGTGTCTGTTCATGGTGTGTGTCCTAAGGGCTTGCTGACTAGGCAGGTCTGTCTTCTCATAAATTTGATATGAGCTGGCCTCATCTTGGAAAAGGGAACCTTGACTGAGAAAATACCTCTACCAGACTGGCCAGTGGGCACGTCTGTGAAGGCATTCCCTTGACTCACGCTTGACATAGGAAGGCCCAGCCCACTGTGGGTGGTACCACCCCTATGCAGGTGGGCCTAAGCTGTATGAGAAAGCAAAGCATGAGCCCAGAAAGAAGCAGTATACAACATTCCTCCTTGGTCTCTGCTGAAGGAAGCCAAGAGGCACGATGCACACTGGCCAGGTTCACTCTGAATGAGGGTTTTATGAGTGACTTCAGTTCCTGGGACCCCAAAGAACCACTCATCTTCACACCCTAACCTCTTAGCCAGTGAGGGTATGTTTTTAAGTCCAACCGTGTGTTACTGCAGCCAACACACAGGGCCCTGCAGGGTATCTGAAACCCCAAGGTCACTACCATGTTGGAACTCCTTGCTCCTTGACATTTGCCCCACAGTAGCCACACTTCGTTCCTGTCTATGACACCATATCCTGGGACACTGTGCTTCAGCTGCTGCTCTGATAAAAAGCACGGATGACAATCCCTGTGAAACGGGACCCAAGGAGTGACACTATCCAACCTGATTCTAAGGTTTGAACTGTGCCAGCCATCAGCTCAAACATCTCTCTAGCAAGAAACTGTGGCTGCTTAAATGAGATGAAGACATCGCCTCACCTCCAATTTCAGCTATTTTTTTTTCCAAATGGCCATTGGGTTGTTAGTTTAAGTCCTATCTGCTTCCCAAGTGTCACTGTGAAGTATCTATTTGACCATGAGGTGGCTGCCACTATGAATTAGGACTTTTTGGGATCTCTCTTTACCCCTACACCCCTGAGTTGCCTCTACAGTACTATCAGGGGTCACCTGGGGAGACTGGGTTGCCACTGAAGCAGGGACAAGACCCAGGGTTCATAGCTGTGCTCAGTCCCTGTCCCCTAGCAATTGACCTGCAGGACAATGTCTGCCACAGTCACTGTTTTGTAGCTTTATTTGGAAAGAAAGGTCTCACAATCCTGTCCCTCAGAGGACAGGGACTGAGTGAGTTGGGGGAGGGGTATCTCTGCAGTTAGAGTTGGAGAAGAGGATAATGCAGGCTCAGTGGAAAAATGTTCTTTTTTTCCTCCCTGCAGGGAGGTCTCTCGGCTGTATCAGTGTAACAGCACATTGTTGGGGATCCCAGAGCTCCTTCAGTGAATGGATGGCAAGACCCCCTCAAAGGGGAAAAAAATACAACTCCTGACCTCAGCAAGGGTGCCCTCAGCCACTTACACAGGGCCTGTGGATGGTCTATGTGGTAAGATTCCAAAGTAGCAACTTAGGAGACACGGTGATAACTTCAACGAAAGAGACTCAATTTCCATGGAAATGGGGTGACAACAAAATGAGAGGGTGACACTTTCCCAGCAGGGAACCTGAAGGGAACAGGGAGACTGTCACTTCTCCCTCTCTGGTGGCTGCTTTTCCAATAGCTCCAGCACCGATCGCATGAACCTCAGATTCCTGGGAGTGTCCCACACAAGCTCCACAATGGCTTGACTAGCTAGCCTCTCTCAGCTAAACCTATGTCTCGGTTAGTCCTCCAACTCCTTCTTGGGTCAGGGAACCTGGGTGGGGACCTTGTTGCTATGGATCCCATGCAGGTGGGTCAGGCATAGAATCTATTTGTTGTGTTCCCACAGGGCCCAGCTATCCTTGGAGAGGAGAGATAACCACTTCTGAGCCATTGCCGTGAGAAAGGAAACCACAAAGCTCACAGAGGAGAAACAATAAGATACAAAGGAGAATGGGGGAAGCCACAGTTGAAACTTACTATCTTGTCTTTCCACTGCTCAGCTGAGAACCTGTGGCCAATAGAGAAAGCTGGACTGCTGATAATTTCATAGCCAGACACCTGCCAAGGGTAGCCTGGATGGGTCAAATTCCTTCACTTAATGGAGGAGATCACACCTGCATAGGTGAACTGCTCCCAAGGTCACATTAGGTAGAGAGGAAATGTGTGCTTGTAACTAGAACAGCAGGCCAATGGAAAGAGGCCACAGTTATTTTGTCTTTGCTAACTGGGGACACAGAGTAATAGGTAGACAAGAGAGAAAATGGTACCAAGAAGCGAGGACCTCATGACACAGGCTTGTAAATCTAGCTTCTCAAGAGACTGAGTTAAAAAGAGTCACACATTTTACCAGTCTAGGCAGCAGAGTGAGTTCAAGGTCAGCTGGGTAACTTAATGAGATCCTGTTTCTAATAAAACATTTTTACAGTGTCTGTAGTTCAGTGGTCTAGTGGCTGCGTAGCATAAACAAAATACTGAGTCTAATCCCTAGTCCTAGAGAAAAAGGAAGAAAGAGGAAGGGGGATGGGATGGGGGAATGGGAGAGGGTAAACACCTTTTCGGTCCCTCACCTGGTTAGGAAGCCTGCCTCCTATTATATCATCCTCACTTTGACAAAGTCTCTAAAGATTACACATTTCAATATGATCCTTCTTGATTTTGTTCCAGCCAGACAGGTGTTTTTAACCCTTTTTGAGATGACAGTGTTTTCATGGCAAGGCACATATAGCTGCAGGAAGCCAGGCAACATGCATTTCACACTACCCAGAATGCCTAGAGGGAGGGACGCTTGTCACAGCCAGTGATAGAGACTGATGTGTGTGCTGTCATCTGTGAAGAACAGCCAAGGCCTGATTAGTCCCGTCGCCAGCTGTGAGAAACGGTCTCTGTCATGACAGACCTGTAAGAATTATGGTTCCCTGTGAGGCTCTAGCAGACCACCACTGTGCTGGCAAAGATGCTTCGCTGGTCCAGGCAGGTCTGATTTGGCTTATGACAGGGAGGGAGAGACATGGCATTTGTCACACATTCAAGGCATCAGAAAAAGACATTCATCGTGGTCTTTGCTAGAACACAATCCAACAATGGCATCCTACTAGGGGAATTCTGCGTGCCTGTGAGAAAACTCCAGGGAAACAAGACTACAGTCTCGTGACCACAGTTTCTTCAAAGACACAAACTCTTCTTGGAATGTGTTTTTGTGCTCCTCCAAGGTGTAGCAGACAGGAGTGAGTTCAAAACTTTAGATTGTTCATTACAACTGGCTGTTGTTACTTGTTTGCCTCTATAGAAAAAATTTTTTTCATATGCAGCTATCCTCATGATTTCATACAGCCTGAACACATGAGAATTTTACTCAGGTGACCTTTCTTAACCCTCAGAGTATAAACCGTCCAATGCTCTGAATAAAGTCAGCTAGTGCAGGAGACCACCTCATTTTCAGGCTTCACTCTCCCAGGTCCCACCACCTCTAGAGTCATAAACCATCTTCATGTCAGATAACTGACTTACCAACTTCATCCCTGATGTTTGCAAGTTCGATTGACAGCTCTTTTTCCTTTGAAAGGGCACTTTCACTCTGAAAAAAAAAAACAAAAAACAAAAAACAGATACTGAGAGTCCCCTCATGTGACATTAAGTATAGTCACGTGTTGAGCAAATAAATCAGATTAAACAAGTAGGGCTAGCCCTGAAGGTGAGAAACAGTCTCCTTATATAAAACCCAATAGAACCAAGTCAGACTCATTGGTTTGCAGTGTTAATATATAATAACATCCACAACCACCCTCTCATGTATCACATGGTTACATCACCCTGGAATAATTCTAAGTACATCTCTGTTCTACACATTAGTGTCCTAGCATATATTACTATATTCTACAAATTCTCATTCAATTTTTTTTATAATAAGTGATTTTTGACCATGAAAGAGTTGCTTGTTTGTTTAAAAGGACAATTATTCCCTTAAGCTTATTCTTTTGCCCATAACTAGTTACTTATCTGATGAATAATGAAAATAATAGCAGATGCCCTAGCATGCAACATTTCTCTTATAAGACCTGACATATCGAGGTTTCTATGAGTTTTGACCCAGTCTGGACATTACTATGAAGCATAGGAGGTACTGCAATTTGAAGTATTATTTGGGGCAAAAGAGGCCATTTGTAACTCACTGGTCACTTGTTTTCACATCAATTACACTGTGTGACATAAAACAGTTGAGCACCCGAAGACACACTCCATATTCAGACTCCATTTATGAGTCACCACAGATGAATTCTCAAGATTTTACTGCTAATAATAAGGAAATACTACTCATTAGTCAGAGATACCAGCTCTTCAGAGAAATCCCTGTCGGTCAACAGAATGTACTCTTAATGAAAACTGACATCCAGAGGGACTTCCTTTGGCTAAAATGTGGACCAAACACATAACACGGGTATTTTCAAGGACTTGTGAGCATTGTCTATAGTCTGCATGTTCAATGCCCCCCAATGGTCTGTGTTAGAGATTTGATCCCTAGGGGCACCACAAGGAGGTACTGTGACTCTTTAAGGAGTGGGGTCTAACAGGAGGTCTTTAAGTCATTGGGAGTGTGCTCTTTAGGAAGATTGTGGGACACTGGCCTCTTTTTCTTCCTAGCCACGAGGTAGCTGCCTCAGATTCCCAACTGGGTCCATCCAGTATGCCCTCCTGAGGCCCAAAGCAATGGTTCATCTAATCAAAGATTAGGACTTCTGAAACTGAGTGCTAACTACCCCTTTCTGTTTATAAGTTAATTATGTCAGGTATTTTATTATAGGGTTGGAAAGCTAACTATTACAGTGCCCCTTAATTACTGACCACCCACCCTTGCCTTTCCTGACTGTGCTGCCTAGTTTTTTTTTTTTTTTCAACTTGACACAGACTAGGGTCACCTGGGAAGAGGGAACCTTAACAGAGGAATTGCCTCCATCAGACTGGTGTGTGTGTGTGTGTGTGTGTGTGTGTGTGTGTGTGTGTGTGTAGGACATTTTCTTGATTAACAATTGATGGGGAAGGGCCTAGACTACTATGGTTGGTGCCACCCCTGGGCATATGGTCCTGAATTGTCTAAGAAAGCAAACTGAGCAAGCCACAGGGAGCAAGCCATTAAGCAGTGTTTCTCCATGGTTCTGGCCTTAACTTTCTCACGAATGGACTATGACTGAGACATGTAAGCCAAATAAACCCTGTCCTTCCCAAGTTGCTTTTGGTCATGGTTTTTTATCACAACAGCAGAAAGCCAACTAGGACAGTGGCTACTTGAAAAGCCAGCAGAAATGGAAAGACAAAACAGCATTTTCATTCCATTTAAGATACCATGAGGTATAATAATGCACACAGATCATGTTGGCCCACTCTCCAAATGAAGAAGGGTTTATGATCAATTTCAGACCATGGACCCCCAACGATCTACTCATCTTCATGCTCAATGATGGGTCATGATGAGGACATGTAAGCCAAATTAAACCTTTTCCTCTCCAAGCTTGTTTTGGTCAATGTTTTAGCACAGTAACAGAAAACCAAACCGGGACAGTGCCTGTCATGAATCGGTGCTCTCTGGGACTAGAGGCAGTTCTCACAATTGTGTTTGTGAGCCAGCTGCATTTAGACTAATGGTCCTCAAGCTGTGGGTGGAGACCCTTTGGGGATTGAATGGCCCTTTCACAGGGGTCACCTAAGACCATCAGAAAACACAGATATTTATGTAATGGTTCATAACAGTAGAAAAATGACAGTTATGAGGGAGCAATGAAAATAATTTTATGGTTGGGGATCATCACAACATAAGGAACTGTATAAAAGGGTCACAGTATTAGGAAGGTTGAGAAGCACTGATTTAGACTAAGGTAGTTTACTGTGGGCTCCTGGGAGTACCTCAGGTCATGATTTTCATAATGCCGGGATGAAACTCTGTTGCCATAGTAAATAGCTGGAGAAGCAGTTCAGTGGTCCAGTTGCTACTTAGCGTGAGCAAGCTTGTGGCGTGGGTATCAACAGTGGTTGGCTAAATAGTTTGTAAAAATGTCTACCAAAATATCTAATTGTTAAGAGTGGCGTATCTTGCGTGGTCCGAGTGTTTGTGTCTCACTCAAATCTGTATGTTTAAACTCTTCATACTGATGCCTTTAGACGAGGGCCGTGGGAGGTTATCAGGTCGTGAGGATGGAGCTTTCACGAGTGGAATTAGCATTCTTGTGAAAGAAGCACCAGGTATGGCTCACCTCTTCTCCAATGCAAGCAAAAGAATTGTGAGAAGGAGCCATCCTGGAGTGTGTGGGCCCCGGTCGGTAAACTGACCCTGCCTTGGCATTGGATTGCTCAGCCTCACAGCTCTGAGACATAAAGTTGTGTGGTTCATGCAGCAAAGTTGGAGACATTTTGCTACAGCAGCACTAGTCAACTGAGACTGTGCCATTCACGAAGTTCTGTTGTCCCTTCAGCCCATGGCCGCTCCGCTTTCCCTGAATTCAGGCAGTAATTATACCACCAAGTGCTGTCCTCCTAATTTTCCTAAGATGCCACTTCAAATGTCATGGTTGCTGCATGGGGTCATGATGGGGTTAAATGAATGAGTAGATGTAAATACAACCACAATAGTGCCTGCATACGTGTTAGGTGGTGTTAGAGATGCACGTTTTCCTTTGAACTTATTTGTAACTAGATAACATCCATAGGTTCTCCTCTGTATTAATCACCTATGTTCAGATAGGCTCTGGCTCTATCTATCTATCTATCTATCTATCTATCTATCTATCTATCTATCTATCTATCATCTATCAATCTTTGATCACCTATATCATTTATCTATCATCTATCAACTATCTATCTGTTCTTGTGGGATATTTTGATCACATGCTGACACTCCCTAGACTGCCAATAAAGTTAAACCTTGAATCAGAGGGTGGAGTCAACATTCAGCTGTCCAGAATTAACCATAGAGTTTTTTGGTGGACCTAGATTAGGATAGAGAGACACAGGGGCTTAAAAAGATTGTCTGGTTTTCTTGATCTGGGAAGGTGGAAAGGTAGGGTCAGCTTATTGTTTCCCCATCACTCTTTAATCTATCAGGTTTTTACTCCCATATTTGACTCCCAAGTTTTATTTAATAATAGAATAATATAAGTAATAACTTCATTTGTGCTTCAATCTGTCATCTGTCTATCATATATTATCTTATTTATCATTTATTTTCTATCATCTATTTATCATCTATCTATTACCTATCATCTATATCCATCTGATCTACCTATTTATTTTTGCAGCACAGAGACAAAACCCCGAGTGGTACATATGCCAGGAAGAGATTCTGACATCGAGGGATATCCCTAACCCTGTGCTCTGATTTCTTGTATCTCTCTTGGGTCTGCACTGACTATAGAGTCTGTGTGCATGTGTATGAGTGTGTGTGTGTGTGTGTGTGTGTGTGTGTGTGTGTGTAGGTCTTGGGATCAAACCTAGGGCTTCACATATACCAGGCCTGTGTTCTATGACTGAGCCATATCCCCAGCCCTCTCAATTTTGACATAGTTGAAAGGATGTGGAGGCCAGAATAGGGAAAGTGTTCTTATCAAATTGACCCCAGGACTTTACACTTATTCTAATGGTAGCCTCCAATGGATACCTGACAGCCATCTTGTACCTTAAGCACTTTGGAGAAGGGTCATTTCACTATTTACATTACTATAAACTAGTAAGAAAACTAACTTACTGCTACATCGAGGACAATTTGGAAAAGTCATATCCTCTGCTTCACAAACACCAGCAGAGAACTAAAATCTTAAGGTTATTAGTTAAAGAATAGCATGAAAAAGGCTCCTGCCAGCATTACAAAGACTCAGACAGCATCTGGGAGTGAATCATCAAACCTCAACAAAAACAGCAGACTCATTCCAACTTCAACCCCAAAGCCAACGCTCTCCTCAGCTTCAGTGTCTGATGGGTACAGTACCATCTCACTGTAGCCAGCAATGAGTAGGCAGGAAGGACCCCAGAAGGAAAGTGACCAAGCTCTAGAACATTCTGGGTAGAATTTACTATTTAAGAAAGATTATAATGCTAAATTCTGCCAAGTGTGTTCTTTAGCCATGCACAGAATAACTGTCTCTTTCCTCCACTTCTTCAAATACAGCCAACGCTTGGTATCTGTAGGGCTGATCTCAAGACTCCTCCCAACCAGGATACCCAAATCCACACAGACCCAAGTCCTGTACATAAAATAGTGCCATGCACGCAGAGAACCCATTCCTAGTCTCCTAGGGCAGTGGTTCTCACCCTTCCTAATGCTATGACTCTTTAATGCAGTTCCTCATGTTGTGGTGACCCCAACCATTTATTTTTCATTGATACTTCATAACTGTAATTTTGATACTGTTATAAATTGTAATGTGAATATCTGTGTTTTCTCATGGCCTTAGGTGACCCCTGTAAAAAGGTCATTTCACCCTGCAAAGGGGTTTCAATCCATATGTTGAGAATCTGTTATCCTAGAGTTAAAATCACCTCCAATTGCTTACAATACTGAAGATGGTGTAAATACCTTGTGAATAGTGGCTT